ACGGCAGTGGAGCAGAGACATCTCTGGGATAGACTTACGAATCTTAGGGATGCGCAGGATGAAATGTGGCTTTTGGTGGGTTACTTGAATGTTGCTCTGTTTCCGTTAGAAAAATAGGGGCGCTGCCCCCCTTCGTAATGAGAATGTGGCTCCTTTCAAATACTTTATTGAACAGAATGCCTTGATGGATTTGGGATTCTCGGGACAACCTTTCACTTGGACGAATAAACAGCAGGGAATCAACCTTATCAGAGAAAGGCTTGACCGAGCACTCTGCTCGCCTTCCTGGCGTTTGAGCTTTGAGTCGGCAGTGGTTTACCATGAAGACTTTGTTGAATCAAACCATTGTCCGATTAGAATTGACCTCCACCCAAAGCACCAAGCGAGACACACCCCTTTCAGGTTCGACAAAAGATGGCGGGATAATGATGAGTGTTGCCAAATTGTCACCAACAGATGGAACGGAGAAGGGCAAGTTAATGAGAAATTGCTTGACTGTCAGAAGGAACTCCAGAATTGGGCAAGGATCGATTACAACAACAAAATACAAAGAGAATCAGAGATCAAGGCACGGATCCAAGAATTACAGGGGCCAAACAGGACAGATGAGATGATAAATGAAGAAAAAACACAGAATCTGGAACTCGCTAGAATCTGGGCCACAGAGGAAGAATTCTGGGCTCAATCGTCACGTAAATGCTGGCTTCAGGAGGGTGACCAAAATACGGGATTCTTCCATGCCAGCACGCTCAAAAGAAGGAATAGGAACAAGATCCTCAAGCTAAAAGACCCCGATGGAATCTGGCTGGAAGAACGACTAGATTTGGACAACCACATCAATGATTTCTATCGGGACCTGTTCAAAAGTAAAGGAGGCACTTTTGACCACTCGCTCTTGACGGGCTTCCCGCAACTGGTTAATAACCAGATTAATGAAGCGCTTACTGCTGATATTGACTCCACCGAGATTCGTAAAGCGGTTTTCAATCTGGGAGCAAACAAAGCACCCGGTCCTGATGGTTTTCAGGGCTGTTTCTATAGAAAATTCTGGAACCTGATAGGGGAACAACTTTGCGAAGAGATCACTTGCTTCTTCAGGACTAGAACTATGCCGGATTCGTGGAATGACACTTTCATTACCATCATCCCAAAAGTGTAGACCCCCGAGACGATTAGCCAATTTCGACCAATCAGTTGTTGCAACTTCAAGTACAAAGTCATAACAAAAATCCTGACGAACAGATTGCAGAAATGGCTCCCAGGACTGGTTAATGAACTTCAATCGGCTTTCACAGGAGGAAGGCTTATTCAAGACAACATTATAATCGTCCATGAAGTTCTGAATCACTTCAAGAAAAAAAAGGAGCGGGTGGTCGAAAGGAGATGATGATGAAGTTGGATATGCGAAAAGCGTATGACCTTGTTGAATGGAGTTTCCTCCTGGAGCTCTTAAAATCTTATAGCTTCAATGATGTGTGGTGTAGCTGGGTCAAAGCCTGCATCACAACGGTAAAATTCCGAATCCTCTTAAATGGGGAACCCTCACCAGATTTTACCCCATCCCGAGGACTGAGACAGGGTGACCCACTCTCCCCTCTTCTCTTTATTCTCATGTCCAACGCCCTGTCGTTCCTTATTGAAAAAGCTGTTCAGAACCGGGAAATCAGAGGACTCAAGCTGAACAGTAATTGCCCACTGCTGACCCACTGCCTTTTTGCTGACGATACTGTGATTTTCGAGGAAGCCTCGGTCAGGGAAGCGCAGATTATCTTGAGGATCCTGGACTCATATGGAAAAATCACAGGACAGGAGGTCAATCGTGAAAAATCTTCTGTGTTTTTCAGCCAGAATGTGACGGATAATGAGAAGGAATGTCTTACCCAGTCCATCGGTTTCGACTGTTCCAATGCTCACTCAAAGTACCTTGGAGTTCCCACAGAATGGGGCAGATCCAGCGGAAACATTCCAGTTCCTAATTCAAAGACTGGAGAATCGAGGAGAAGCTTGGAAGAGCCTATTGCTGTCTCCGGGGGGGGGGGGGGGGGGGGAAGAAACTCTCCTCAAAGCAGTTTTCCAAGCAGTCCCATCTTACATCATGTGCCTTTTCCTCCTCCCTCGTACAATGACGAACAAGATGGACGCAATGCTGAAAAGATTTTTCTGGAGTGGATCTATCAACAAAAAATCTATCCATTGGAAGGCTGGGAGAGTTCTCTATGCTCATAAACATGAGGGAGGGCTTGGGTTCCGACAGTTCCATATCTTCAACCTTGCCTTACTTGCCAAACAAGCATGGAGGTTACTCACGAACCCAGATGCCTTGTGGGCAAGGCTGCTGAAGGGCCTCTATTTCCCTCGGGGCGACTTCACCAGAGCTAAGAAAGGCAGCAAAGCCTCATGGATATGGTCAAGCATTTGAGAGGCAAGGAAATGGATGGAAGGAGGAATCATCAGAGTCATTGGAAATGGAAATGATACCAAATTCCTCCAAGATCCCTGGCTGTTTGTCAGAGAGGGCCCACTCAGACCTGACAGCAATGATGTTTCCTCTGTGGTCGCTGATTTCATTGACCCCATCTCTAGGGAATGGAAATTCGACATTCTTGAGGATTTTTTATCCCACTCGGAGATTCAAGAGGTTGTTCACGGTCAAATCAGCTTTTTAGATCATAAACCAGAAGTGGAGGAGGGATCGAGGAGAGGAGCTTTCTATACAGGACACAACCAAAGAGAGATGGAAGTGGCTCTGGAGGCTTCATCTCCCACCAAAAATGAAATTCTTCATCTGGCGGGCCTCGAGGGGAGCATTGGCTACTCGACACAACCTACAGACCCGACGATGCTCCCCATCATCGACTTGCCCTGTTTGTCACGAAGCGACGAAGACAACTAACCATTGCTTGTTCCGATGCCCACATGCGGCGAATGGTTGGGAGCTTCTCTTCCCGGATCTTGGCATCCCCCCCCTCTCACCAATGTGCTGGACTGGCTCTTCGCGTTGTCAAAGAACGGGACAATCGATCTGGTGCAAAACTGTATCTACCTATTGTGGCATACTTGGAAGTCGAGGAATGAAAAAGTGTTCAGGGAAAGGCTTCCGGGACCTTTCGCAACGACCACTCATGCTATGGAGGAAGCACAATGATGGAGATCCTGCCCCATCAAAAGAACTGCAACTACTCAAACTCAGCCTACCCCACCTCCCGAACCAGCTTTACCACCGCCAAGTACACTTTGTTTTGAGGTACACTGTGATGGATCGTACATACACGATTCCCAGGAGGCGGCATATGGCATCGTGATTATGAACGACCATGGTCAAGTTGTTGACGGAAAGGCTGAATCTCTGCACTGCTTCTCTCCGATTGAGGCGGAAGCAAAAGCTCTACTAGAAGGGACTTTGGCCGCGGTTGATCTTAATGCCCCATGCCGGGTCCTGTCAGATTGCCGAGGTCTGGTGATGGCTCTCCAAGACGTGCCGAAAAACTGGCCTTGGAGAGCAGCGGCCATTCTGGGAAGAATTCTCTGTCTTACCAGGCTGTGCCCCAACATCAGAATTGACTGGTTTTGTAGGAAGAGGAACTCCAAAGCAGACTGGGTGGCCAGATCCTGCGTTAGAAACCAACTTCCCTCAAATTGGATTCATATTTTTGATATTGTTTCTCCCCTTCTGTAACTCTGCTTTCCGTTTTTGCTTTGGAATGAAAAGTTAGTGCCCTCTTGTCAAATAAAAAAAAAATTACTACTCTTCTTTTACCCAGTATTTTATAGGTGGTGGTAGCAGGAGAATCCAGACCCTATATAGACCTTTCATCGCCAATTCGCCATGCCTCAGGGAAAAAAATGGGCAAAAAAATACTATCCAGAATCTATTTCTGATAATATTAGTGGATAAGTATCCACAACGCTTCTTTCTTCACTACAGAACAAAGCCCCTTTTTTTATTTCTGCCCTCCCTTTACTTCCTCTCAATTGTATATTTCTCCAATTGTGCTGCTCCTACTTGTACAGATCGTCTCATATCAGCCATGCAACTCCACCCCATTCTTCATTCTGCCACCTCCTAGCTTCTGCCCAATCGAACAGGTAACAAGTAACAACCCCATTTGAGCAAGTTTCTTGATTTCCCGTGTAGCAGTCTAAAGTAACGATCTTTGGCATGCATCTAGTGATCTGGCTTCGAAATTGATTCCTTTTGGCGACTTTGCCGTCCTGGGTTTCTTGCCTGTTTCATGTTCTGCTTTGAGAGTCTGATCATTGAGAAAGGCACAAAGGCTAGTTGTGTTCACTTGTTGAGATTTCTGGTAACTAATTAGCGCTTACCTATATATCTTATAAACCAGTTCTGCTTTGGTAAGGACTAAGTTGTGAATTAGAGGTCTTTATCCTTCCTATTTTGCTATATTCAGTGGCTTGTTGAGGTGTGTATGGCTTGAATAGGACACATGATTTCTTGTCTTTGGAATCGATTTAGAAAGGTTATTTATTGATGTTGTAATGTCTGTCTGGTGTGATTCAGAAGGAAGATGGCTAGATGCCAAGATGGAACAATCACAAGCAGCAAACTGGTTGAAGCTTCTCCCATTGTGGTAATATATACATTCTTGTTCCATTTCCTTCTTAAGCTAAACCATCCATGATTTGGATCTGTTAGTTGTTAAATTCCTCTGGAGCATAAGCAGTTGAATTTATTTCTGTGGTAACCAATCTTGCTAGAGCGATTCTGCTTTATGTTTTGGTGCATTGTCACTTTACTGTGAGCAACATGAAGAAAGGCCTTGACCTTGCTTATTGGTTGTCTTGTTCATCGTAGATGAGATAGTGCCCTTGTGTTTCTCTTTTCAGTCGAGGTGACAGTCCGATGAAAAAGCTTGTGACTCATTATGAACTCACAGGACCGATTTCGCCCAATCTCCTCGAATTCACAAGTTCAACCATCCTGCCCAATCTGTACAGGCAAGAATGATAGTTGCCAGATAGTCCGATCAAGAACTAAGCTAATGAATATTATGATGAAGAGAAGGAAGCCCAAAGAAGCCGAATCCATATTCGATGGTCTAATGGAAGATGGACACAAGCCAACCCTTCTAACCTACACCACTCTTGTTGCTGCATTGACTCGTCAAAGGCGTTTCAAGTCCATCCTCTCTTTGATATCCAAAGTTGAAGAAAGTGGGCTGAAACCTGATTCCATACTCTTCAATTCGATCATCAATGCATTTTCTGAATCTGGAAATGTAAAAGACGCAATGATAATTTTCCAGAAGATGAAGAGCAGTGGATGTAAGCCCACCACCAGCACTGTCAATACTCTTATCAAAGCATATGGAAATGTTGGTCAGCCCGAACAAGCTTCAGAGTTGTTGGAGTCATTTTTAAAGGAAGAAGACGTGAAGCCAAATGAGAGGACATACAATATACTAGTTAGAGCTTGGTGTAACAAGAGAAACATTGATGAAGCTTGGAATGTGGTAGACAAGATGGTTGCATTTGGTTTGAAGCCAGATGTTGTCACATTTAACATACTAGCTAGGGCTTTATTCGTAATGAACTTGTCATCGAAGTTGGTGTTAATTGGTGATAATTGGAGAAAACGCAACATGGAGGGTAAGGAGACTGTGTGATTATGTCGATTTGAGGTTCGGGTTTGGAACTGGATTGAATATGGATTGAAATGGATTATCACGTTGGCTAATGAGGGTCTCTTTAGACATTATTTTTGTAATTAATCTCCATGAGTTGGCTTGCTAAACTTGAAAATTTTGTCAAAATTTTTCATGGAAATGGATGGAGTGGCTATTACAGTTGATTGAATTTTCAGTGACAAATTACCATGTTACAGGTACTTGATGCTATGGAGGAGTACGGAATCAAGCCTGACGTGGTGACCTATAGCTGGATAATGGATACATGGGGATCTGCAGGTATCATGGACCAATGCCTAGAGATATTCAACGACATGTTGAAAGCTGGAATCGAACCAGACATCCATGCATTCAGCATCCTCGCGAAAGGTTACGTGCGAGCTGGGGAACCAGATAAGGCTCATTCGGTTCTGGCATCCATGGGACACTACAACGTGCGCCCAAACGTAGTAATATGCACCACCATCATCAGCGGCTGGTGTAGTGCTGGAGAAATGGACACTGCAATGGAAGTCTACGAGAGGATGTGTGAGATAGGGATTTCGCCGAATTTGAAAATGTTCGAGACTCTGATATGGGGATATGGAGAGGCCAGGCAGCCATGGAAAGCACAGGAGTTGCTGCAAGTCATGGAGGAGAAAGGAGTGTCTCCAGGGAAGAGCACTATGCAGCTCATTTCAGATGCCTGGCTAGCCGTTGGTTTAACAAGTGAAGGCAAGAGAATTGTGAATGAAGGAGAAGAAGAAGCAGAAAATTCTAAGGTTGCTTTAGATACAAGAGAGGATGAGTTCCCGAAAGACCTAGATCTCTCGGCCTCTTATTCCAACGTGTTGGAGTTTCCTGGAGATACTCTGAAGGGTCCAAATGGATCATCATCTCCTGTTGTTAAGATGAGAAGCCAAATGATTCTGAAAAGCCCCAGGTCTGCATCAGAGACCTTATTGCCAAGTCAGAAATCAAAGTTCTTTTTTCGCGCATCTGGTTTTCGAAGGCAGCCACGAGTTATCTGTAGAAGGCAGGATCAAAGCTTTTCTTGCATTTGTGGGAAGTTCATGAGATCATGTGGCATCTTGTCCATTGCGTAAAGATGGTGGAGCTCATGTTACCTGCTTCTATGCTTGTAAGGTGTCGAAGAACAGTATGCGGTAGTTTGGAATGAACTCTCAGAAGTGCTTCCTGAAGTTGTAGATACACATTTGTTGTTGTATTGTAATTGAAACCACAGTCCTTAGCTTCTTTTGTTATTGACTACACATGCAGCCTGTAGGTAACATTGTATGCAAATATCTCCTCGAATGGCCTTACAGCTATATCCGGATGGGTAGACATGTTCATAAACTATAATGTGCAGCAGGCAGATCGTGCTGCTGTTAGAATCAATGTCGTCTTGTGGATCACAAGATAAGTTTTGCGTCTTGCGTTTTTTTCCAGTGAGTTCTAGCCTGTATAGTTTGCTCTTTAGAGTAGGGATTAATCACGTAACTCTAGACATAGATCATTGTGGATCACAAGATAAGTTTTGCGTCGCTTGCATCTTTTCCAATGTGTTCTTACCTGCATAGTTTGCTCTTTAGAGTAGAGCAGAGATCGATCAAGTAACTCTAGACATAGATCATTGGTATTGGATGTGTGTAAAATATGCTTGTTCATGAAACTATACTCCAACAGTGGCGGAGTCAGGTTGTAAAACTAGGTGTGTCCTTTTTTTAAAATCTAAATAATTATTTAATAATTAAAATTGAATGGAAACTAGCGGACTAAAAAAGAGAGCCCAGTAACAGAGGCTTCTGTTTAAACTTCATAGTTCTTGGAAAAAATTGAATAAAATAATTGAGAAAAGTTAACCCAAATAGAGATTTATTTCAATTGAAGATTTCATTAATAGCGTATAAATTAATTTTATATCAATCAAATAACAAAACTTAAGTAATGGTAAAATACTTTTATACTATATCAATGGGCCTAAGTTCAGGTCCTTAAGGCCTCTTTTTTAAGGAGGATCTTAAAGCCTTGTGATTGGCTAACTCAATTTTAGGTAGTTAGTGAGGAGTTATTAGTTAAATAGTTGTTAGGGGTATTAAGGAGACTACAATTAAATTAAAAACAGGCGTCTCTTTCTTTTACCAACCCTAACCCACGTCTCTTTCTTTTCCCTCCCGCAATCCAAGCCGTCCTGCTGTATGTTTCTTCATCATTCCGCAAGCGGGCGAACCATCCGATCGTCCCGAGTTCTCCGTCCGGTCGTCCCTTCTCCGGCAGCCACTCCAGCAGTCGCTCTCCTCACGGCAGCAGCTTCGTCCCGCCGTTAGAACCTTCGCTATCCCGCCATCATCATGCTGCTGCAGTTCTAGCATCTCCGACATCCCGACGACGCAGCTTTTTGCGACGCCGCCATCCCGCTAGCACACCTGCCCGTCATCATTCTCTTAGACTCCTTTTGAAAAGTGACAATATTTCATTAATAATAATGACAACGTGGTTATTAGTAATTTGGTGTGGATAATGAGTGGTTGTGATTATCAACGTTGTAATGCGAAAGCAGTAATAATTTTGGAGGTTTTGTTAACGTATATGTTTGCAATGTTTCTACTCTATTGACAATGTTCTAGTATGCCATTATTAACGAAAAATTTGTTATTAATGTTTTAATATGTAATCATTAATGAAATTAAAAAGAATTTTAATGCTTTTCCGCGAATGATGAACACGTGTATGAAGTTATATTTCGCGTTAATGTTGTATGGTTGTCATTTTCAACGTTGCAATACGAAACCAATCATAATGTTGTTAACATATCAAAGATGATTATAATTCTTTGATGTATTTTGTTAATAAAAATGACAAAAATGGCTAATATACATACCCATAAGATCTTTTATTATTATATTTTTTGTTTGACTTATGATTGCAATTCAATAACATTATTAACAAAAAATTGTTTCAATTATTAACAGTTTGTTGATAGATCATATTATAAAAGTTGATAACGTTACCTTGAATGACGTTATCAACGATATACAAAAACATTACTACCGTTTTCCAATGTTAATAATGAACATTGTCAAGATTAACGAACATATAATGTAAGGTTCATAATCTCCCGCAAAAAGTTAATAATTGAAACAATTTTTTGTTAATAAAAACTCTTCTTTCTAAACCTCCTATTAATAATATACTATACTTTTATCAACCTATACAACATATCAATAGAAGGTGTTCATTAAGGGTCACGATATTAACAAAAACTCTGTCTTTTTTCAACTTCAGATTTTATACTATTAACATATTTTAACAATAACATTTAGACTATTAACGCTTTTTAAACCTCCTATTAATAAAATAATATACTACTATCAACCTATACAACATATCATTAATAAAGTTGTACGATCATCAGAATTGTATTTAACAGTTTCTTTTTGCTTCTTATAATACTCTTATATACTATTATTAACATTCAATCATAGACCTTTTAATAATGTTATGAAAGGGAATAAACTTTATGAAACTAATAACCTATAACAAAACGTAACTAACTGAGCATTGGTAACAAACACATTAGTTATGCGAATCATTGAGCAAAAAAGTTAATAATACTTATAAGAACATTAATAAGGCGACAATTAAAAATTACAAACTGATTACAGAATCCTTAATCATCAATTATTATTAATAGCCCTGCAATCGTTGATAGGTTACATAGAAACGATAGGTTACATAGAAAATGTTAATAATGGAAAAGGACATTAATAATGTATTAAGCAAATGGTGGATCTCCGATCCTTCATTGCCGGAGCCGCCTCACGGAAGATGATTCCTCCCAGTCGCTTTCAGCCAATGGCTCGGCTCGACGATCGCTTGCAACGACGGCTTTATGTGACGGCGACGTAATAGGGCTGGGCTGGTGGGAGGGAGCGGAGGTGAACGACCTGCGGAAACGATGATAGAGAGAGGAGTCAACGACCGCCGAATTTTTGACGAGAGAGAGAGAGCACCGGTTTGAGGAAACGAGATAGGGTTTTAATTTTAATTTTCATTATTAATATCATTAATTTTTAATATATTCCATTCATGTCATTATAGGTAGTTATCCAATGATTAATAATGATTATCTCTCTCCTTTTCTTATTGGCTGGAATGGGTTTAAGATCCTCCTTAAGAAAGGAGGCTTAAGGACCGGATCTGACCCGATATCAATGTAATGCATTTGAATATTTTATCCATTACATCTTATCTTATCTTATCTTATCTTATTTTATCTTATCTTACTATATATTATGGTTGTTCAAAAGCAACTTCTTGCCACATAAGCACTTGAAGAGTTCACAAGTTGCCAAGGTGGAAAATTTTCCTTACAAACAAAAAAGTTAGTTAATGATCTATTTATGGTGTTATCTCTATCTTCTTTTAATGATTCTTTCTTCTTTTCTTCTATAATTCATGTTTCTTTTTGTTTTTATATAGTGATACATATTTGATAGACCATCATTTACACATGTTTTTACCCCCGTTCTTACACCGTTTGAGGTGTTGATTCTCGTGTTTTAGGCCGATTTCACGCTAGGTTGTGCTTGTTTGTGATATTTCAGGTCCTAGTACGTGAATGAAGGCTTAGGAGCGAGTCTGGGGTCGATTGGACGAAGATCGGACGAATGGCGAGGTTTTTGGGGAGCTGCACGGGCAGACCAGGGAGGCTGCACGGCCGTGCACGTGTGCAAGATGGCCGTGCGCCTTATGCCGAGGACACGCACGGGCAAGCAATGGAAACCACACGGCGTGCAAAGTGCACCCTGGCCGTGCGGTTTTGGCCGAGGCCGAGCACGGGCTGGCCGTGCGAGAAGCCTGAGGATCGAGTTAGTTGATACGCCGCGTTTTGGAGCTGCACGGCCAAGTGGGTGATGTGCACGGCCGTGCACCCTGGCCGTGCAAGTCGGGAAACCCGGTTTTAGAGCCTAATCCGAGCCAAAAGTGGGAGAGTCGTGTTTTCAGAGCAAAAACAGAGCCCTAGAGAGAGAAAGTGCGAAGAACACATCCTAGAAGCTGTCTTAGAGCTGGATTTCATCGAATCGAGCTTGGAGATCGTCATAGGAGTGGAAATCATCGTCCCGGAGCAGATTATCCTCATCGTTATGAGTATGACTAATCCGATTCTTGTTTTCTCTTCTCTCTCTATGGAGTAGTACCCTTCTCTCACTTGGGTATGAAGAACCCTAGTTCCTTGTGTTAGGGATTTGATTGTAATGACTTGGGATGATATTACTGTTTGATTTTAATCGAATGATGCATGTTTATTGAATTGATTTGAGTCTGATCAGCTTTTCTCAATTTCTGCTGCAACCTGAGATGGATAGAATCTGATTAGGTTGTTAGAGCCTCTTCATTCGATAGTAGGAGATTGGCTATACGAGAGTTAGCCAGTTTACTGCTTTGTACTGGTGTTCTTGGCGCCAGTAGTGGAGTTCTGTGTTCATAGCCTCAGCTTTCTATCCCGGTGAAGACTAGTCGTCTGCCGGGTAGTTAGACTGAGAGGGCTTGGTCAGTTTAAGAGATTCCAAGCTACTGTCGGATCTTCCGCAGTCTAATCAACAGTAAATCAACCCAGGGAATTGCAATTGAACCTAACTAAGGGGCTAGGGGGACTCAATCCCGAGTGACTCTTGCCTGCTTTAGAAAACCGAACAATTTACTGCTTTCTTGTTGCTTTTACTTTTCACAACAATCACTCGAACTAGTTTGCTAGATAATAGAGAATCACGGAGTAAGCAGTAGATCTAGACCCCGGGTTGATAATTAAACTTGCCTGTTACTGCATTCCCGGACTGCGATTCCACTTGGTCGCAGTTTGGTGTTGTGTTTTGGCGTGTCAAGTTTTTGGCGCCGTTGCCGGGGAACCCTCTAGATTATTGGGGAAACGTGAGAATTTGTTACTCTAGCTTTTATTTACTGCATTTTATTTCTTCCACCTGTGTGCCTTCACGGGTAGCTTCTGCTGATTGTGTGCAGGTAGTGCATGACCCGTAGCCAGTCGGGGGATCTACTACCACTCGACCAGGAGCTTGAACGAACCTGCAGGAACTCCAAGCGG